TGAATGGGCAAGACAAAATATTTAAGTGCCTTTGAACAGTGTATGGTAGTAGGTGCCAGGCACACTGGTTTGAGTGTGTCAAGAACTGCAAAGCGGCTGGGTTTTTCTCGCTCAACAGTTTCCCATGTGTATCAAGAATGATCCACCACCCAAAGGACATCCGGCCAACTTGACACAACTGTGGGAAGCATTGGAGTCAACATGGGGCCAGCATCCCTGTGGAATGCTTTCGACACCTTGTAGAGTCCATGTCCCGACGAATTGAGGCTGTTCTGAGGGCAAAAGGTGGGGGTGCAACTCAACATCAGGAAGGTGTTCTTAATGTTTTGTACACTCAGTAAATGGAAATGACGAACATTTCCACCTATTCTGGATGTTGAAATAAAAAAATAACGGTATTTATTACACTGTTTGACTATAGATAAAGAGCGTCCTCTGTTGGTATGTTTCATGTATTTTTGTTTTCGTCTTATTATTTTCTTTCAACATCCAGAACAGTAGGTGGAAATGTTCGTCATTTCCATTTACGATAGCCAAGCAGATCACCACTGAACAATACTACAGTGACAACTTCCGTTCTAATGACATCTAATTTCCGTGTTTGTGCTGACACGTCGTAAGCTTTTCCAAACCACTTCTGCTCATACGTGTAAGTCTTCTTTCGCTGTAGAGCAAGAGACGGACCGGTCACTTACGAACCATGGCACCTAAAGGTAGCAGCAAACAGCAATCCGAGGAAGACCTACTCCTCCAGGACTTCAGCCGAAACCTGTCTGCAAAGTCCACCGCGCTTTTCTACGGCAATGCGCTAATTGTGTCCGCAATTCCCATTTGTAAGTAGCAAGACCAAACCGGTAACTGGTTAGCAGCTAATTGTATCATGGACGCATTACATTGAATGGACATTCCGCTACCGGTAGCTAGCCATATTTTTACCTAACATAGCTAACTAACGTGGCATAACAAGACTTGTATAGCTAAGTTTGCTAACTACCCTATGCCACCACTGGTTAATATATTACTCAGTTACTGTAGCTACCTAGTTGGTATATGACAGGTAAAGTTATCTAGTTAGGTAGCTACTTGCTGAGATTGATAGTGGTTGTGTTGGGTGTTGTAGTTAGCTAGCTACGTTATCCCAGACTTTGATTAGCTAACGGGCACGTCATTGTAGGTAGCTAACGTTAGCTAGTCTATTCTGTTCACAGTGACACTACTATATAATACTAGCTATCATAAACAGAGTAGTTATTGGTCATGTGAACTGTTGTGACCCTCCGTGTTTGTGGTCTTCCCTTGTTGTGGTTCAGGGCTGTTCTGGAGGATCTGGCACATGGACCTGGTCCAGTCAGCGGTCCTGTATGCAGTCATGACCCTGGTCAGCACCTACCTGGTGGCCTTCGCCTACAAAAACGTCAAGTTCGTTCTCAAACACAAGTATGTTTGTTATACAAACATGAACACTCACTTAACTATGGCCTCTGTGTTCTGCAATGCTTGGAGGTATGGTGAGCATGGTATCAATCGGTAGTAGGTCGGTACCTAACTTCTAAATGGGCTTTGTCTCTTGACCACAGAGTTGCCCAGAAGCGAGAGGATGCCGTCTCCAAGGAGGTGACCAGGAAACTCTCTGAGGCTGACAACCGCAAGATGTCTCGCAAGGAGAAAGATGAGAGGTCAGTCCGCCAGCCAGTCTGTGATTGGACAGATAACATGTCAGTCACTCCTCTGAGGTTGTTACTGGAGGATGATAAGGTGCCTGATGAGCTCTTGGTTGCTCATTTACAGACCTCACTAAGAGACAGTTCTTGTTCCCCAATCAATTTCATGTTGTCAAAGCTGTAGGGGTCTCACCCAAACAGCTAGCCTGGGTGCTAGTCTGTTTCTGGTCTCTTTAATATAGCCTGGGTGCCGGTCTATTTCTGGTCTCTTTAATATAGCCTGGGTGCTAGTCTGTTTCTGGTCTCTTTAATATAGCCTGGGTGCCAGTCTGTTTCTGGTCTCTTTAATATAGCCTGTGTACCAGTCTATTTCTGGTCTCTTTAATATAGCCTGGGTGCCAGTCTGTTTCTGGTCCTTTAATATAGCCTGGGTACCAGTCTGTTTCTGGTCTCTTTAATATAGCCTGGGTGCCAGTCTGTTTCTGGTCTCTTTAATATAGCCTGGGTACCAGTCTGTTTCTGGTCTCTTTATATAGCCTGTTACCAGTCTATTTTGGTCTCTTAATATAGCCTGGGTGCCAGTCTGTTCTGGTCTCTTTAATATAGCCTGGGTACCAGTCTGTTTCTGGTCTCTTTATATAGCCTGGGTACCAGTCTGTTTCTGGTCTCTTTAATATAGCCTGGGTACCAGTCTGTTTCTGGTCTCTTTAATATAGCCTGGGTGCCAGTCTGTTTCTGGTCTCTTTAATATAGCCTGGGTGCCAGTCTGTTTCTGGTCTCTTTAATATAGCCTGGGTACCAGTCTGTTTCTGGTCTCTTTAATATAGCCTGGGTACAGCTATTTCTGGTTCTTAATATAGCCTGGGTACCAGTCTGTTTCTGGTCTCTTAATATAGCCTGGGTGCCAGTCTGTTTCTGGTCCCTTTAATATAGCCTGGGTGCAGCTGTTTCTGGTCTCTTTAATATAGCCTGGGTGCCAGTCTGTTTCTGGTCCCTTTAATATAGCCTGGGTGCCAGTCTGTTTCTGGTCCCTTTAATATAGCCTGGGTGCCAGTCTGTTTCTGGTCTCTTTAATATAGCCTGGGTACCAGTCTGTTTCTGGTCCCTTTAATATAGCCTGGGTGCCAGTCTGTTTCTGGTCTCTTTAATATAGCCTGGGTGCCAGTCTGTTTCTGGTCCCTTTAATATAGCCTGGGTGCCAGTCTGTTTCTGGTCTCTTTAATATAGCCTGGGAACCAGACTGTTTCTGGTCCCTTTAATATAGCCTGGGTGCCAGACTGTTTCTGGTCTCTTGCCAACTCCTTATGGAATTTTTATGTAAAATGGCTTGACGATGGAGTAGGCAAAAGCACAAACAGATCTGGGACCAGTCTACCAAACAGCATGCACAAACACATGCACAAATGGTTGATGAACCCTTCCTTCCATATGTTAGGATCCTGTGAAAGGAGGAGGTAGCTGACTATGATTTGATAAACCGTTCTCCTCCCCATGTTAGGATCCTGTGGAAGAAGAATGAGGTAGCGGATTATGAGGCCACCACCTTCTCGATCTTCTATAACAACACTCTGTTCCTGGTCCTCGTCATCATCGCCTCCTTCTTCCTGCTCAAGAACTTCAACCCCACAGTGTATCCTTTTAAGCACATTAATCATCAATTTAACTAAGGTATAGTTCCAGTAGAAACTATGGGTGCTTACTAAAGCTGAAAATAGATGGATGATCCTTTACTAATAATGATAGTTATTTTAATAATAATGATTGTTGAGGCTAGACTAACATCCTGGCATTCGCATTGTCCTGTTGCGATATAGAACTTGCAGAGGAAAGTTCTTTGCTTATTCATTGGCTGTAGTCTGTGGACTAGCCAATCACCGGTTGGTTGAAATTCAGATTGCATCCTGTATTGAAGCTCCAGGTTGCCACTGCTGCATTCTATTTACAATTCTGGATTGCTGTTTACCTCTGGCTGAATAATGTCTGAGAAGTGGGTGGATGGGGTTGAGTGGAGGATGCTTAATGCTGAAATCTGTGTGTGTAGGAGATTCTTAATGCTCACCCAGATACGATAAGTATGTAGCTAAGCCTCGAGCATTATTCCCTCTCACTACTTGCCTGCCATTTCCTCCCAATAAATGTGTATGCTCTACAGATATGTTTTGTCCTTAACCCATTGTTCCCCCAGTAACTACATCCTGTCCATCAGTGCCTCATCTGGTCTCATCGCCCTACTGTCCACTGGATCCAAGTAAAGGAGGAAAGAGAGAAAGAATCTGAGAAGAGGAGGGAATGGGGTTGGGGTCAGGGGTCAGGGAGGGCTGGTGTGAAGCTGGGGGATAGGGAGGATAATAAAATAATTCACATTTCAGCTGTAAGTCTTCATGAAATTCAGGATGTCACTCCAGGTCTGTCCTTCGCCTTTTGTACTAATTCATTAAAGTGGCCAGATCAAGAACCACTGTGTGTGTGTGTGTGGTTGTCAACCAGCAAATAATCAGAATTGATTTACATTTCCAAGAATGAAACACCAATCGACTTCATCTGCATTATGCATTTATTAATGAAGTCGTATTAATTTATACACGGAGCAAAAATATGAACTCAACATGTAAAGTGTTGGTTTCGTGAGCTGAAATAAAAGATCCCAGAAATGTTCCATATGCACAAAAAGCTTATTTCTCTCAAATGTTGTGCACAAATTTGTTTACATCCCTGATAGTGAGCATTTCTCCTTTGCCAAGATAATTCATCCACCTGACAGGTGTGGCATATTAAGAAGCTGATTAAACAGCATGATCATTACACAGGTGCACCTTGTGCTGGGGACAATAAAAGGTCACTCTAAAATGTGCAGTTTCGTCACACAACACAATGCCACAGATGTCTAAAGTTTTGAAGGAGCGCACCATTGGCATGCTGACTGCAGGAATGTCCACCAGAGCTGTTGCCAGAGAATTGAATGTTAATTCCTCCATCATTTTAGAGAATTTGGCAGTACATCCAACCGGCCTCACAACCGCAGAACACGTGTATGGCGTGATGTGGGTGAGTGGTTTGTTGATGTCAACTTTGTGAACAGAGTGCCCCATGGTAGCGGTGGGGTTATGGTATGGGCAGGCATAAGATACATACAAAGAACACAATTGCATTTTATCGATGGCAATTTGAATGCACAGAGATACCGTGATGAGATCCTGAGGCCCATTGTCGTGCCATTCATCCACCGCCATCACCTCATGTTTCAGCATGATAATGCACGGCCCCATGTCACAAGGATCTGTACACAATTCCCTGAAGCTGAAAATTCCCCAGTTCTTCTATGGCCTGCATACTCACCAGATATGTCACCCATTGAGCATGTTTTGGATGCTCTGAATCGATGCCTGCGACATCTTGTTCCAGTTCCCGCCAATCTCCAGCAACTTCGCACAGCTATTGAAGAGTAGTGGGACAAAATTCCACAGGCCACAATCAACAGCCTGATCAACTCTATGCGAAGGAGATGTGTTGCGCTGCATGAGGCAAATGTAATCACACCAGAGACTACTGGCTGGTTTTCTGATGCAACCCCCTATTTTTTTTTTTTTTTAAGGTATCTGTGACAAACAGATGCATATCTATATTACCAGTCATATGAAATCCATAGATTAGTGCCTAATTTATTTATTTTCAATTGACTGATTTCCTTATGAACTGTAACTCAGTCAAATCTGAAATTGTTGCGTTTATATTTTTGTTCCGTATGTAAGCAATTTACAGGGAGGTCACTGTTCTCATGACAGGATAGGAAATAAATTAGTGAACTGGATAGATGGATGGACACCGATGTTTAAGTAATATAGTCAGGGTTTCCCAAATTCGGTCCTGGGCCCCCCGGGTGCACGTTTTGTTTTTTACCCTAGCATTACACAGCTGATTCTATAATCAAAGCTTGATAATGAGTTGGTTATTTGAATCAGCTGTGTAGTGCTAGGGCAAATACCAAAACGGGCCCCCGGACCGAGTTTGGGAAACCCTGATATAGTTGGTAAATCCTCTGTCCTGATAACTTTAGAAAACAACACTTTTTATAACGGTCTGCTATCTTTAAATACAGTAGTTTACATGGTCAGCCTGGTCTAAATGGGTAAACCCATGAGGGAAGCAGGACTTGGATCTGGACCAAACAGCCATGGATGTATTGTGCTGCTGAGAGAGGAGAAACAGTGGAACACTATTTACACAATACTTAAGAGGTTATTTATAGAATACTTAAGAGGTTATTTATAGAATATAATAATAATATAATAATAATAAATAATAATAAAGTTATTTATAGAATAAGGTTATTTATAGAATACTTAGAGGTTATTTATAGAATACTTAGAGGTTATTTATAGAATACTTAGAGGTTATTTATAGAATACTTAGAGGTTATTTATAGAATACTTAGAAGTTATTTATAGAATACTTTAGTTTCATCTGCAACAAAGGGGGCTTGAGGTCTGTTCTGCATATGTTACAAGGTTTGCCCCGTAAAGTTTAATATATACACCCCTGAAAGACAAAAAATATTCTAACACACAGAAGAAACGTATTTTCACATACTATTATAGAATAGTATTTTTCAAAAATACTTCACCTATCTTTCGCATGATCAAACAAGCAACGCTAGCAGTTAACATTGGTCTGGTGGGAAGTCGCGTCACAGGGTGGAGGAGGAGAGGCAGGATTCTCCTCTATGGATGCAGACAGACACTCTACAGCTACAGTACAGGAGGCCACCTACTCACTCAGGTGTCTCACTGGGAGAATCTCAATTGTATTTCCTTTGGACTCCTCGCATCCTCTCTCCTCGCCTCCTTCTCAAAACCCATTGGATGAGAAAGCCAGAGGTCCCTGCCCCTCTGACCTTCTCCTCCAATGGGTTTTGAGAAGGTGGTGAGGAGAGAGGACATGAGGAATATGCAATTGAGATTCTCCCAAGGAAATGCAATTGAGATTCTCCAGCGCTCTCTCTAAGAATCTATTGAAGATATTAGATAGCAGTTCCTCGTATGACCAGAGGGGGACGACAACATGCACATTCTTCCCCTCACAGACAGAACAAATGCCTGTCACTGAAACTCAATGTCCCAGTGTGCTCTGCTTCACAAGGTCAAACAGTGGTCAAATACAGTAGACTGGTTGGAGAGAGGAGTTTGTTTTCAAAATGCATTGTGAAAGAAGCTTACGGTATATTCTAAGTATTAACCCCTTTCTGTGTTGTTTTGTAAAATGTGCTTTTGAAGAGAACGTCCAGGCACACCAGAGAGGGGAAGCATGCAGTCAGAAAACCTACTGATACTGGGTTAGGCTGAACTGAGCTTGGTTACACTGGGCTAAGAAGGCTTGGGCTGGGCTGGGCTGAGCTGAGCAGGCCTGAACTGGGCTGGATTAGACTGAGCTGAACCCCGTGGAGGTTGGTGGAACTGGATCCACAGTGGTTGTCCAGTAGTGGTTCTGCTTCCTCCTGGGTGTCTAGGAACGGTACTCCTTCTTACTGTACGGCTTGTTCTCCAGTATGTGATCGATGTCCGACACCACATGAGACGTCATTTTTGGAAGGAACTGTGGAAAATAGCAGAATTTGTGTGAGTGTACGTGTGTGTGTGTGTGTGTATACATGTTTTCCTTCATTATCAGGACCACAATGTCCTGACAAGTCACCAGGAAAACAAGACATTTTCTGAAAAGTTAGGACTTTTTTCATGTCCTGAATTTGTTAAAATGCTATTTTAGACATAAGGGTTAGGTTTAGGGTTAGAAGTTAGGGTGAGATTTAGGGTTAGGTTTAGGAGTTAGGGAAAATAGGATTTTGAATGGGAATACATTTTTACTCCTCAAAAATGTGTGTGTGTGTGTGTGTGTGTGTGTGTGTGTGTCTGTGTGTGTGTTTACCTGTATGGCACCCAGGTTCTCTGTTAGCTGCTCTGGACTGGGGATCCCCGGAGGAACTCACCCCTGTTCCTCAAACACCAGGAAGGGAAGGGGGAGAAGGAGGAAGAGGGAAGAGGAGGAGAGGGCCGAATAGAGAGGGAAGTAAAAGAGGAAGGAGAGAGGGGAAGAAGGAGAGAGAGAGGGAAAGGAGGAAAGGAGGAGGAGGAAGGAAAAAAGGAGAGAAGGAAGGGAAGGGAGGACGGAGAAGGGAAGAGGCCAGGAAAAGGGGAGAGGGAAGAAAGAAAGGGGGGAGGGGGGAAAAGGAGGGGGACCCGGAAGAAGGGAAGGAGAGAGGAAATTCGGGGGAAAAGAGGAAGGGAGCGGGGATAAGGAAGAGAAAAAAAGAACCAAAAGATAAACCAAAAAAGAGGGGAGGTGGGGCGTTATGGGTTTTTCTTGTTCACTTATGGAATTCCTCTTAAATGTAAGTACTTGGCTCCTTTTCTACATCATTAATCCTAAATTCTCTAAAAATACGCATTTTTTAACGGTGTGTTGCCATGGTCCCATTAAATGAGCTGAGGAATTAAACCCAGATTCTTCACAATGTGCCAGTTCTGACTTAGCTGGGCGTTTTCCTCCGTTTCCCTACATCTTTTCCTTCACTTACGACTTAAGGGGAGAGGGAAACCCGAGTTAGGAGAGGAAAAAGAGGAGAGAGAAAGAGGGGGAAAGAATAGAATTAAAAGGAAGGAAGGAGGGGGGGAGGAGAGGATAAGGGAAGAAAGGATTTAAATTATCTTATTTTTAAAAAGGGAAAGGGTAAGGAAAAGGGAAATTTTTGGGCCCCCCCGGGGGGTTTAGGGTTTCATAAATTAAACCAAGGGGCGTTTCCCCCTTTTTTCCCCCTTGTGTCCTTCCCTGTCATGCTTTCACTCTCTTACCCTGACTCAAGACTAATTTCCTTGCATCACTTCGCAGTTTTCCCATGCACGGCAGGCCTCCGTTAGCCCCCCAGCGCGGTTCAGTTGAGGAGTAGGATATGAGCACATTTTCTGCTCCTTAAGGGCTGGGGTGCCCCGTTAACTTTTTTTTCCCAAAAGGAGGAGAGGGCGTGGTGACAGTTGTTATGTAATTCTCTAGAATGAAATGTATGCTTGATATTCTGTGTTCCTAGCATTATCTAAGCATTAAACAAAGTTTTAAGTGTGTTGTGCCCTGCTCCCTCTCACCCACCCACTGAGGAGAAACAGCCCAGCTTCTCAGGTCGTCCCAGCTCCTCAGTGCCGCTTTTCCTCTCCTCCCGTCCTCACTCACGATCTTCTCCTTTAACACTGGTACGACTGCAGAGAGAGGAGGGAGGAGAGGAGAGAGGAAAAGAGGAGAGGAAAAAAAAGAGAGAGAGAGAATGAGAGGGGATATAAAATGTGAGGAAGGAGAGAGGGAGGAGAGGATAGAGGAAGAAGATCTCCACCGTATTGCCTTCCCCTATCCAGTCCCAGTGGATAGATCAGTGGATGGCAGTGGATCAGCCAGGTTGCTCAAGATCCAAGGCGAAATTCAACATCCGTCCAGGTACCCAGGATGTCGAGAGATGACTTAATGGGCATGAGCGGATGGGCGTAAGCCGCAAGCTCCGGCTAGGCACTCGTTTTACATTTTTGTTTTTAACCCTATCCCAAACCTTAACCCTTACCTTAACCATTTGTAGTTAATGCCTAAACTTAGCCTGAAAAATTGAACGTTTATGGAGAAACGTCGGATTCTTGCAGTGAGACTGTAAGAGGTTGTTGAGTGGATACAGGTCTTACCTTCATGGATGCCCTGGAGGTTTCTGGGATGCCGTTCTGGTACTTCCCCGTGATGATGCCACAGGCCAGCGGAGACCACGTCATCGCCCCAACACCTGTCACCATGGAGACCAGAGGGAATATGGGAACAGAGAGGGAGGGAAGTGAGTGACAGATAACTATGAGATCTTTAGCACTGTCAATCTGACAGACACCAAACAGATGCTCTGAGGACATCATGAAATCCCCAGACTAAACCCCATCAGATGTTAGGGAAGTGGAGTGTTCTCAGGAGGACGTTATCATATAATAATATAATATGGCATTTAGCAGACACTTTTATCCAAAGCGACTTACAGTCATGCGTGCATACATTTTTACGTATGGGTGTTCCCGGAGATCGAACCCACTACCCTGGCGTTACAAGCGCCATGCTCTACCAATTGAGCTACAGAGGACCACGTCATATCAGTTTATTACAATAACCGTCATTCATATAAGTATTGATTATGGAAGTATCCACTGATTAGAACCCCATAACAGATGGGAGGATGGTTGTGTGAACCTCCAGCATATGTGAGGGAGGGGGCGTGGGCCAGTTTTTCTGGATTGATTCACCTCTTCCTTTCCCTGGATACCCCCACCTTTTCC